GTGCGGACGACACGTAGGAAAAGGGAAATCTCGCGGGTATCGAGGAACTAGATCGCCTGTGGAATGGAGCAAGAACTTGCCGGTAATTGAGGCTCACACATACTCTTTGATAGCATTTCCTCATTGGTCACCACAGCCTTGATACCCCTCATGTAGAACAAATTTATCATGGATTTGGCGTCGAATTCACCATGCCTCCATGAGTTCCCATACCCGGTCATCGAACTGTGCTACCAGACTGTCTCTTCGGCAACTAGTCGTATGCACCTTCGCTCCCATGCTTATTTGTCTCTCAAGTTTTGCAAAGTATCAGAGGATAAACAGAGAGGCAGGTAAGAAGCACAATTTTTCCCTACGTAAGCAGACTATAACATTGAAGCGGTACTGTAGATTTGTGGTTGACAGATATTTTGTGCCTTCCTTTTAGTGTGTTTACCTAGACTTGTTATAATTCGAATTTATTTGGTAGACGCACTTCAATTTAGCTTCGTTGAAGGGATATAAGATGCATGGTGCTCTATATCAAAAATAAACAAATAAATACAATTCATTTGCATTTGTGAGATGAAAAGGCTGTAACATGTGGGCATACTAGCAAAGAGCTTTTCGGTGAACTCTACTCTTTACTTGCTTCCCATTCCCGGTCTGTTATTCGTTGAAAATCGTGGTGGTTTTTGAAAGCATATTTGATCTGCACGCTGAGTTGCGGGTTTTACTGACCTGGAGACATTGTTTTCTTTTCAATTTCTTTTTTCTTTATTTTTTTATTTCAGATGAGGTGATTATACCGCTAGACAGCACCCATTTGTCAACCATTTCCCGGCTTCATCTCGCCTCAAAAGCTCCTGTTATACTGGGCGAAAGGTAGATTGTCACTTCCTTCTCTTTCAGTGGCGTCGCACTATTTAGAAGATAGAGTGCCTCGTTGCTGGCAACCGTCGGCTCGTTTTGCTGATGGTAAGATAATCCCGTATTCGAGGCGAAAGTGTTCGATCCGTGATGGAGTTTCACGTTCCTTTCAATCGAGCTAGTGATCCAGCGCGAAGTACAGTTCTTCCAAACCCTTCGAAAGAGTCACTAGAAAGACGATCACCGGTGAGACGAATACCAATTCAAAGAGTGCGATAGAGTTTTTGCCTGCAGACGATAGAGGCTTAGCCACGGTCACAATCCAAGCGATCCCTTCTTTGGCAATGCCTGGGAAAGATCGTTAGTCATTAGTCGAAAAGCATGATGACCGCAAAGCACGAAAGGGTATAAGCAGTTGAAGCGTCCACGAATCCAGTGGTCGCCACGCGGCCAAGTTCCAGTGATGATCAAACGTGACCTCATATTGGACGCATTTCGTCTACGTCACCAATGGTCTGATCAGACGTTTTGTGCTGGTGCGAACATCTCGCTCAATTCGTCCTGAAAGCAGAAAAATGCGAAAGTGGACCGCGACACGCGGTGACGAAGAGACGTGACTCTTCTTCTCGCATAAGCATCAACACCAGCCTGATTTGAGGTGGTGCATCCGTCCATCTCGATCTGGTTCCCGTTAGCTGTTAGTTTCCGGGCTTGCTTTGGATGTGGCGTAGCTTCAGCATTTCTTCGTCCGACTGGTAATAGCCTACTATTTAGGCACCGCCCATTCGGAGAAAGAGAGCTCTCTTGGGCGTCACCAACCCCACCGCATTCACCTCGCTGTCCCGCTTATTCACCACAATCAGCTGCTTATTTTATGCTATCACCGAAATGACGTTTCTTCTCTTTGGTTTCGTCGCTGTCTGTTTCGTGGTATCAGCTAAAGAATCTGGCTACACCGTTCCTCAACCTCAACATCCTTTCGGTGCTGCCGAGCCAGCATCTGGTGCTGCTGTGTTCCACATTGCCAAGACTTATGAAGTAAAACCTGTCATCTTCCAACCGAGCCCTTTGAAGAGTTTCACTGCACCCGATCCACCAAGCGCGCCCGTGACGTAAGTCTTTCTCTATGGCCATTCGAAGGCGCTTTTTTCACTCGTTGGCACTTATGAAATTTTCGCAGATCACCAATTTCTTCAGAACATCATATCTCCTTGAAAATTTATTATTTCATCCATTATTGCTTCTAATTTTTCGAATAGGTTAGTAAGGTTTTGCCAACAAAAGTGAAAAGCAAATATTTTGTGTGGTACGGGCAATAACACATTTTCGATGTTGAAACTAGAAGTTTTACGATGATACCTATGAACTTTGCTTTTTGGAACTGTTATCGCGGATGATGCTGTATGTTTACCCTTTAGGCTCTCAGCAGAAAATCCGCACCTGAAGCGTCATCCAGGAGTACATTTAACATCCTTGCCTCATAAGGATGTCTACACTTCAAAGATCAGAGGTTTACCTTCTAGTCGCCGAGAGAAGGCTGTGCAGGAAGAGCAAGTGCATCGGGAAGAGAGCCACATACGAAAAGCTCCCGAATGGGTGGAACACCTCTCCACGCACTCTAGGCACAGATTCACCATTCAAAATCTTGGGCAGTCTGAACAGGTGTGCTTGAATTATTATAATTACGGTAGAAGCGACTAACGCTAAACGTCCTTCAGGTAATCCGACAGTTCTACAAAGGCGCCAACGGTGGAAAACCGTACGTGACACCGAATCCTATTGGTTAGTGTTGTTGTAAAAAGTTTTGAGGATCCTTTGCTCTCGTTCTTTTCTTTCCTGTGGTGCATTGCTCGTAGCATTTCTTGCCTTAAGAAGAGAACTCTAAATACTTAAAGATCGACTCTTAAGTAATATCCACTCTGGTGAGATATGCCTCCAGTCCAAATTTCGCAGGAAGGTTCTGATGAAAGAACTTGTTT